TCAACACATAGTCACAGGTGACCCAGCAGCATTTTCCCTCCAGGGGCCTTGAACCATAGAGCGTGCATAACTTTGTGTCATTGCACACACACAAACTTGTACAAGATTCCTCCAAGGTTTTTCATTCATGACAGCCCCACCCCCCTTGGGGAAAAGGCAGAGGATTTGGACTTGCAAAATCTCGTGGGTACAACTAAAATGGTATTGGAATACCAGGGAGGTGAAGTTAAGAAAAAGAAGCAGTAAAAAATGAACTAGAGCAAACACATCCCATGACAGAAGGATGAACAAAATGTAGCACCATGCAGTGCTGGCCTCCAGGTCAGCGGGGTTCTAGGGAAGAGGGCACAGCGCCCAGGGTTGCCCAAGGTTGCCCTGGGTTGCCACTTGGCTTCACCAGAGATGTCACAAGGTATTCTTGAAAAATGTCAGGAACCTCTGCTATCCATGCTCCTAAAGGAACTGTGTAGTCTGTGCCAGCCATCCCAGGTCTAGTCGGCCTTTCTTTCTAGCTGCTCAAAGCAGGTGCAGCCCCACGAGCGCTCAGCAGTGGATAAAGCCACAGAACCCCCTTTCTAGAACAATATTCAACTTCTGCCACAAGTAGAATAAGAAAGTACCACATTGGGGGGGGGAGGGGTTGTCTAACTTGGAGAGAAACATTTCAAAAGCAAGTAAGTTGTGTAAGAGCCACTATCATTTACACACACCCCTTAGATGCTTCTCAAGTGTCAGGCAGGGGTCGGGGAGTGGTTTCCACTCCATGAACCAACGAGTTCCTCCTCCTGGAGCAAGGTGACTATGGGCCCATTGTGTGGTCTTTTCTTTGCCTGGCTGATAGGAAACTCTGTTTTCCTTCAATTATTGGAACTTTCCTTAGATACAATTTGTTTTTCTTTACGATAATCTATCCCCCTCCCCCGCCTTCGCCATTTGTTTATTTTATCTTGACCATTTTTTAAAAAAAATTGTCATGCGTTTGTTTAGCAAAATGTTTTATGGTGTCTTAAAATAGTAAATGAAACAGCATGGCATGCTGTTTAATATATTACATCTAAAATTATCCAATTCTGTATACCCTAAGTGCCAAAGTAAGTTAATACTTTCTAAAGTTTAGGTGAATTTATGAGTAAGTGTAAATATTTGTACAAATTTATGAAATATCTAGAGATTTTTGAAAAGCCTACTGTATGTCAAAATTAAATCAAATAGTACAGATATGGTCTTTGGGAGTTGATCTGATCAGATGAGCCCCACTGATTCTATTTATTGGTTTCCATAAATGTCAGTCATGTTCCCACTTTGTTGTGTACATGGTCTGCCGGAATCCCCCCATCCTAAGATTCTAATAGATCCAGTTTCCAATTCAGTTGATAGCGGGTGACTGTACTACACAGCTAAAATAAAAGGAACAGGTGCAATCACAAAGATATCACGTCCAGTGAGCCAAGGCAGAGAGCCAAGCGAGGCCCTGGCATTTGTCCTTGAGTAGGGAGGGCAGCAGCCTGCCCGGAGCTGAGGTGTGGTGGCAGCTGTCTGAACCACCTGCAGCATGGAGCCACACATGGGGAGACTCTGCACCAGGAGAGAACTTACAATGGAGATAATGGCATCTCAGAACACCTTCTCCCCTGGGAAATGACATTTAAGAAGTGACTGGTCTAACCTTGGTATTGTGAACCCCCGCTAACCCTGGAGAAGAGCAGTACGTGTGCCTGCTTTTGGGGTATAAGTGACATTGGAAGTGTCAGCTCCACTGAAGCCCCACCTCAGTCCTTACTCTGGGCTCTAGAGGCTGGCACTCATCCTTCACCCTGTCATGAGAGAGAAGCAGTTTCTGGTTTGCCTTCACCAGTAGACTGGCATCCTTGAAAGACGGCTTACCTGTCTTCTTTAGTGTCAAACACCTGGAGGAAAGCTCCCTGCCCAGCATCTAGTATATACTCAACAGAGCTTTCTTGACGCAATCATTAAGCCGTTATTAAGCCATTAAGTCTTGGAGCCCTGGGGCCAAACAGAGGATCACCACTGTCAACAAAACTGTTTCTAGCTGCAAATCATAGGATATGTGGCCTTTTGTTGATGACAGTACATACCCACTGGTACTTCTGAAAGTTCACAGGACATGAAATTAAAAGCAATGTATTTGGGGGGTGGGCAGCGCTGCGGTACAGTGAGTTAAGCTGCCATATCCAGAGTCCTTGTCCAAGTGCTAATAGGAGTCCCAGCTACTATGTCCAAGTTAGCTTCCAGCTACTGAGTTTAGAGGTCTAAGCCACTGGCCTTACTGCCTGGGTCCCTCTTAACCACGTGGGTAACCGAGGTGTGGAGTTCCCGCCTCCTGGCTTCAGCCTAGCCCAGACCTGTTGGTTGCAGTCATTTGGGGGCGACAACAAGTAGATGGAAGATAACTGCTTTTTCTGTCGCTAGCTTCTTTAGCATTATGATTCTCAAAGTTTTTGTGTAAAGATCTTGGGCAGCTGTGTGTAGGTTTTTTTTTGTTTGTTTTTTTGTGATACTCATTTTCCATAAGGTTCTTGAAGACCTTTTGTGACCAATTGGTTTCTCCATTGTGATGAAGTTACTTCTATTGTTCCTTTTGTGAGATCTGGACTATAAATCACTGAGCACTGCAATGAAAGCTCCAGAAATAAATTGGTTCCAGTGGGGAAGTCGGACAATGTATGGTATTTCCCAGTCGGAGCCATAATTCTGAGGAGTCATCCTGGTGATGAATGGAGACATCTTGGAATTTGGTCCTATATGGGATGAGTAGTGGTACTTAGAGGCTGACTGTCCCCCCTCTCCTGTTGGAGGCCAAATCTTAACACGTGTCAAACCAGGGACAATTTTCACAGTGTTTGATTGAACAGTACGTCAAGCCCGAGGCCCTGCTTTAGATGCTGTGATCGAGAGAGACAGAGAAACGGATTTCGACATTTCCTGTTGGAAAACCCGATGCAGATTAAGTGTGCTGGGTGCTCTCCGTTGATCCTTCTTCCAAAGGGCAGCTTCGCTTTCTTGAGCTGGTTTGTGACATTAGCACCATGCTTGAGATGATCAAGTTTGGAGAGTGAACAATCAGTTTATATATTTGCATTTAGGGTTAAAAGAGGGTTCTGGTTTTAGGCTCTTGAAAGGAAATGTTCGGGAAAAAACATTTTGAAAATGACTTCACACTGTGTGAAGTCTCAATGGATGACACAGACCCACCTCCCACCATGACCCGGAAAATTCCGTGGGCTGTTCTTATCGCTCATGCTTTAGGTAGGTCAATGGACAACAGGCCATTTCCTCGTATACTCTCTGTGCAGAAGTCTGGCTGCCAATTTGATTGGACTGGAAATGGAAGGAGACAAATATTTCTCCTCTGCCAGTTCATTCTCCAGATGTTGTAACATCAAGCTGGCTCAGGCTCAGGCCAGGAGCCCAGGACCCTATCCAGGTTTCCCACATGGGTTCATGGGCACAGCTACTGGAGTCCTCTCTGCTGCTGCCTGGGTGTGCATTAGCAGGAAGCTGGATTTGGGAGCAGAAAGGATGCAACCCAGGCATCCAAAATAGCAGGTGGGCCTCCAAGCATCTTCTCCACCATGCTGCCTGATGCTCGCCCCACCTGCCAACTTGGATTTACCTAAGCATAAGTTTTTGACATATTGGCAAGATCAGTAGATTTCAATTCTGCTTATACTTCCACATGGCCATCATCAACATGAGGGGCTGGTAGTCAGTCAATCTCAGGGTGATGTGTATTCACCAGTCATGTGGTGGGTTACAAAGGTGGGCAAGGTGAGAATGGAGAATTGTGGAATTGAGTTGTACTAAGCGTATCTAAGCCCAGTTCCAAGACGATCCAAACTCATTGTCTGATTTTAACCAGAAATTGGGTTGAGCCAGAAGCACATGCATGCTTTGCTCTGTGCTTTAACATCCACCCAATCTTGAGCAGGTCTTCCCACATCTGTGCTTTGGTTTTTCCGTTTGTAGAATGGGGATAGCATCTTCTAACATAATTATGGAAAGTTTGGATGAAGTGTGGAAGAACTTAACATATAACATCCATACTTGGTATGCCAACCAGTGACCAGTCAGGGGAAAAAAATTACAGAGAAATGAATAAAGCAAGGGAATTAACTGCTGGAAGGACTCCGGAATCAAGCAGCATGGTGAGAAATGCCAGAGGCGCAGCACCCATAGGACGCTGCTATTGTTCACTGGGCGAGAACTAGGAAAAGGCAGTACCTAGGAGGCATGTTGAGACCTGGAGTACAGTGGCTGCCCTGACTTGGGAGGGACTGCTTCTCTGACAGGTTTGGGGGCCATGGAGGAGACTTCATTACCCAGGAACCAGAGGACAGGAGCGTCATGGCATGTGTATGTAGCTCTCTGGGATTCCGTAGGAAGTGGAGCTCAGAGTTTCAGCCACAACATTAGGTATTGCTACCGTGGCCATCATGTGTGTGTGTGTGTGTCTCTCCTGCCCATTATTTTTTACCCAGGATCCTTACTGTCCCTGTGGAAGTGAGCATTCCATTCAGGCAAGACCAGCAATCAAGGCAAGGGATGGACCAGGTGGGCAGGCTGCTAACACAGGTCTTGCCTCAAGAGTGTAGTGTAGCCCCATCAGCAGACCCTGATACGCCACTATCCATACCCTGTGCTAGTGAGGGATCCAGATAGGCAGACTCTAACGAGGTGCAGTTACAACTGGCGGTCAAGGTCTGAGTGTCTGTGGACGTTCTCATTAAATAAGAAAAGCATTGAAATGTCACCTAAAGGTGTTTCTTTCCATTGTGAGGCTATGGTAGAATTAGAGCAGAAACATTGAGCAGAGGTTGACACGCCATGGCTCTCTGTCCTGGTCCTGTCATTCCAATAAGGGAATGTGATAATGAAATGAAAGATGGTGGGCAGGATTGGCCCGAGGCTGCAGCAGCAAACCTCTAGAAACCCAGGGAGAAGAGGAAGCCATTTCAGAAACAGTTCTTAGGCGACTCACCGAAGTCTCAAAACAACCTTTATTCCATTTGAAGACCTAATACAATGCATTAAAGCAACTTCAAAAACAAGACATAGCTCCACTGAATCTGTAACTTGAAGAAAATGTCAAGGAGGCACACTCCCCTAACCCCCCCCACCCCAGTGGCCTTGGAAAGGCAATTACAACCGACCAGGACCTCCTCCTTCTCGTCAAAAGACCAACTTTTATTTGAACATCATAGAAAGATTTGTAAAAACATTGGACACATTGTAGCTTTTTCAAAAATACACACGTATAAATGAGCTTTGTTTCTTAAGTAGCAGCATTCTGGGCAGCTAATGCTATCTCATGGCGACAAGTTGAACGTGAAGTTGGAGCATCTTTCCAATGAACCCAACTCTGTTCTCCCAGCCCGCCCACATCCATGGCTTCTAAAAAGCCATGGATTTTAGAGAACAGACTTCTAAAAAAAAAAAATTGGCATTTTGGAACATTGTCCCATGCGAGGCATTGTGCTTAAAACTGCCCCTCTCTTAAATGACCCTAAGCTCAGGGCCAGAGTCGACTTGCCAACTCACTTGAATACCATGTATAGCAAAAGCTGTTGTTCACACCGGCAGAACTCTTCCCCCAAGAAGGAACTTTATCAGTAGGACTTCCCATACACACACCACTAGCTCATAACCAGCTCTAGGACCAAGCGATCGGTTCTCCACAGTGACAACTCACTTCAACACAAACTTGACACACCAGAGAGGATTACCAAGAGAAACGGGTCATCCAGACCGACTCTCTAAATGAGTCACTTGGAAAAAAAAAAAAAACAGAAAAAAAAATAAGAATGGTGAACTCACTTCACTTGCAAACGATTTTCACCTCTGTAAGACAAAAAACAAGGCAACCTCAAAGCGAATAAAGCAACTCCTACACATACACAAGAATTGTTCTAAACACTTGCTTCTTATATACTTGAACGACTGCAGAACTGCTTGCTGGAAGGGTGTACTGGAAACACGGTCCATGCACATATACATATATACATCTCTCCAGGGCTGTCAAGTTGCCAGATGTTGTCGCCTGCTTTCTGCCTTGCCACGTGGTTACGATTCCTCTGGCGTGTACCCTGAGGTCCTTAAGCATTCCTAGTGACAGGCCTACCTGTGCCTTTCAGTGGCTCAGCAATGGTTGTCCCTTGCTATAGGATGTGACAGTGGGTGGGAAAGACCATTGTACAGATGGGATCGTGTTGTCGGGAGTGCCCTGCTGGCTGCAGTAGCCCCCAGGAGAGATCCTCTTGGACAACACAGTTAAGCATGGCACCAGCACCTGAGGCCCGTAGTGCGAACGCCCACAAGGGCACATGCAGTATGCATGCTCCCTTGCAACTCTAGAGGCCTCCCTGTGCTGGCTGGAACGACTCCCATCTGCTCCTCAATCCCTCTCTATTGGATTTAGGCTTGTGAAATGCACAAACCAGGCAACGGCCCGAATACCATGTCATCTGGCCAAGCGTGGTGGAAGCAAAATGCAAGAACAAAATGGTGGCTTTCCAAGAACCTGGATCTCAGATGTTATGCTTTAGAAATAGCAGATGAGAACTGGAGTTGGCAGCACACATAATCCCCGTCCTCAGCACAAAGAGAACCCGCCAACCTACCTTTAGAAAACGGAAACCAGCGAGCTGTTAAGACTCCGGTGTGATGTGGGATGCTTTCAGCACCGGAAGTTTCCAAGCAAGGACGCGTCCCCAAAGGAAAGCTCTGGGAAGCATCAGCCGCAGGGTGAGGGCACGGAGATGCTCGGGTGGGCACTAGCCAAGGACTGGACAGTCTGAGTTCTCCTGGAGTGGGAGCCGTCTCAGGGACAGCGGAAGAAGACTACAGCTCTACGATGCTTAGCTGCTTCGGCCGATTGAATTGAAAAAAAACCCTCACCTTTAGTATCTGAAGAGGACTCAAGCTGCGGGTGAAGCTAACAGTGAGAAAGACAGGCTGAAACTGCAAGGCCCCATTTTCATCAACCAGGATGGGGGACCACGGGGGTGACTGGCCTTCAGGGCTCCTGACACGTGGACAACTCGTCCTGTACCAGACAGATTCTGCATATGCAAATCTGGGAGAGACTGCTTACCCTCAGTGGGAAGGATGAAACTAAGCCCATCCCGGGCTTGGCCACAGTGAAGTAGAGCATCTCCAAGAATTGGATGAAGGAGAGGATCAAATGACCATGACCTTTCAGAGCCTGAACAGTCTGTTTGACCTGTGTTCTAAACAGAACGGAAACCTAATGAAGTGAGAAACCACCCATTAAAAAGTAGTATTTTTGATCATGCTTTTATCTAAAATGAATGTCTGGTCAGCGCAACTAGTCTTGTGTTAAAAAGCAAGAAAACAAAAAAAAAGCTCCCATTTTTCTAAAGGCAGAGGTGACTTTGGACCAGCATCCTCAACAAAAAGGGAGCTGTGTTCCAGGAGCCCCAAAATAAATTTGCAGCACTTCCTCTGGAAGAACCGAGCTACTGGACCAGCTGCCTGGTAGGACGACCCTAGGCTGCCAACTGCCATCCACTGAAAAGGCAAAAGACCTCCCTCGTGCCAGCAACTTCACCCGGCAGCGTCAACACGGGAAAGAGAAAGTGCATGCCGTCCCCCTTGCCTCCCGCCACCCCACTGTGTCTGTCCCCGCCCCCCCATTCAACAAGTTCACGATTCTTCAGGAAACATTGCCAGGTACCGTATTTTTAAGAGTCTTAAAACAACATCGTTGGACTCTGCGATACTTTGTCATATTCATATAATCTTTTTCTTTTCTTTTTTTTTATTGAATAAAGCAGCTTTGAAGCTTATCAGGCACTGCCCAACAAAACATTTAGTCCAAAAAAAAAAAAAAATCTGTTCTGAACTTTTTAACTTTAGGCTAACAGCCAAGTACTCTGTACAAGAAAAACTGTAAAATAGTTCATAGGTTTTAATTCTGAAGCCATTTTTTTTAAACTGGCATCCTGTACATTTCTTTAAAAAAAAAAAGTAACAAAATGAATATTAACAAAAACCAGGGATGACAGTATTTTCAAGCAATGAAAACCGGGACTGGGGAAGCTTATTCTGAAGGTACATTTAAAACAGACAACAACTTAACGAAACCGAGGAATTGCATAGCCCCGTGAATTTAGCCTTCAGCAAAACAAAACAGAAGCTATTTGGTATTGGTATAAATTCATCTATTTGATAGTTAGTCATCCAATATTATGTACATTATTTTATATACTGAATGTCCTCTGAAATTTTTCTTTTCCGAGCTCCGCTGGTTGGTTTTTCTGTTGGTTTGGTTTGGTTTTGTGGACGAACGGCAACAAAACCACATTCTGGGCACTTGACTCCCAACAGGATTTCCTCTGAGCACGTCGGGTCTCAAGTCCACTCGGGCGCCCAGGGAGCGGAAGTGCCCTGCTGGCTCCACATCGCTCATCAGTTAGTCAAGGAGCTACTCCACAGTGCGATGCGTCTGGGTCCACCCGGCCTCGCGCATGGCAAACCCCCTGGCTCCACCAGGCTGGCTCGCGCCGGTCCTCCAGGCTGGGGCTCGGCCGCCCTCTGTACCCTCATATCTCCAGAGTCCCCACTTGGAACTGGTAAAGCTTCAATGAGCATTAACAAGCACCGTGGTTAGAGGCCTCTCTGTCCCTGCACGCAGAGCTTGTTGCGTTTCTTTTGTGTTTTTTTTCTCCCCCTCTCTTTTTGTGTTGTTGCGGTTTTAAATTCAAACCCCCGAAAAAAAAAAAAAAAACAACCAACCAAAACCATGAAAACATTCAACAAAGCCGTCCGTTTTAGGCCGCCTGTCTTCCTCCGCTTCTTATTGTTGGGTCCAAGAGAGCTTGCTGCACAGCTCAGCGCACAGGTCAGGCTGGAGAGGAGCCTTTTGCTTCCCAGAGGCCTCCGAGGGTGTTTGAACTTGAGGAGAAGGATCGAGGAAGGTGAGCGAGCGCTTCATCGCCTCTGCTGTGCGTAGACCGGGTAGGCTAGTGTGACGTTGAGAGAGTCGTTGTGCTGCACGAGCGAGGTGTGTTGGTAATGTAACACCAGTTCCTTCAGGGAGCTGTACAGGTTATAGGGCTCGGCGAAGCCGTAGCCGGTGGCCGTCTTGTTGATCACGCAGTGCTTGACCTCGCCGTCCACCCTGGACAGGACAGAGAATGCAGGCTCATCAGGGCCCACGCGTGACGCGGCAGGTGCTTTTCTGATATGTCATTGCCATTGCCATTCGAGGTGAGCTGCCCCAGGGGTTGGTCTTGCCATGGGGGAGAGGGGTTGAGGTTGTGGTCCACCCAAAGCTGGGGGGGTGACTCAGGCTGGGCTGAGTTTTTGGGGGTGCCCAGCTCAAAGGAGCCACCCGTGTTCTCATCTTTAGCACGTTTCAAAGGAAGATGGCAGAGATCTATTCTCGAACAAGGGTGGTTTGGGACATTGAAGTCATGCCTGGGGCCTATTTGCTAGAACCCCTGGCGTATGGGACAAAGACCAGCAGCTGCCTGTGCCAGGTGCCCCTGCCTGGTGCTGCGGTTTGCCCTCGATGCAACTACTACCACCTGCAATTTGGGGTCACGGGTCCTTCTCTCTGCCAGCCCCGAGCATCCCCCTCTCCACATTTAACGCCCTCCCAATTCTCCACTCTTATAAATAATCTCTCTCTGCCCTCCCTGCCCCAGGATACTGGCTTGGCTAAACATGAAAACTCTTCTCCCAGGGGTCATGTTTTCTTGGGGGTGTCTCCTACAGGGACAGTAACGGGGCGGGCGGGGGGGGGGGAGCTCCTTTCTCTGATGCTCACCACGGTCTGACCACAACTTCATCTTGCATGGGACCAATGAAAACAGGAGTTTCCCTTGTGCGAGAGCCTGTCAGAATACCTCCATCTAGTCTCAAAAAATGTTCCACTTTAGTGTCTGTCCTGTGGTTCTAAGCAGCACACCTTTCCCCATTCCTTGCCCCCAGGTAGGCTGGCTGCAAAGCAGGACCCGTGCGGAGATACATACACCACGGAGCAGGCGTAACAGCCCTGCTTGCTGCTCTCGCGGACCAGAAAGGTGCCGTCTCGCTTCCCTCGCAGCAGGTTCTCGGCTTTATTCCGGTTGCTACTGCCAACATTCCAAGTCTTTTCATCGTGGTGAGGTAAGTCCTCGTCGTCTTCCACCAGCGAGTATTGGCTAGGCAGGCAAGCAGAGGGAGTTTCTAAAGCCATCACGTGGCGAGCGAGCCCCCAGCTGCCACCCCTCACCCACTTGGCAGGGAACCCTGGTCACTTCCACCTGCTCTCCATCCCTCCCACCGTGCCAGCCTGCCAGCCCCAGGCTGCCACAGCCCGCCTCTTGTACCTCCCCCCTCTCCTGTCGTCATGGGCAGTCACCAAGCCAACTCCCAGGACACCCAGGAGCAAACCCTACTAGTTCAATTTTCAAGTAAGTTACTATATTCAATGTACTTGAGCGGTGGGCTCCTGGGACAATTTGCAATCCCACTCATTCAACTGGATCAGAAAACAGATGGGCTATGACTACCAGCGCTTTGCAACGAATCCAAAGACAAATGTAAGCTTTAAAATATACAAAACCTGACAGCTTTTTTTTTTTTGTTTTTCTCTGTTCCAGAAACATTTTCAGATCAGGAACATCAGTTTGCAAGTTTATGGGGAAAATAAACGTAAGGCCTCTCTTAGCTAAACTTTGCTTTTTTTCAAAACCGCTCGGATGACGGCACTGAATTTATACTTTTTTGTGTGTGTGTCCTAAGAGATGGGCCAAGCTGGACTTACTCTTCCGTGTTCTCGTTGCCCAGCCACTCGTTCAACTTCTTCTGCCGGACACCCTTCTGAGTCAACCACCTGCCGAAACATGGTTTCCAAAAAAAAAAAATGCGTGAGTGGCCCGTTCTGCAGCCGAGCCGTCATGCCCATCACCCTCCGCCCACCATTCGCTTCCACCCACGTACATCAGGTACTGGTCTCTGGTCTTCCTCAGCTGGATGAGGTCTGGTTTAATGCTGTTCATGCGTTTGTCAATCTCCCGGTACTCGGCCGCCTGCTTCTTCAGGTCCTCCTCCAGCCTCCTCCGACTATCGATGATCTCGCTGATTCGCGACTTTAACTTGTCGTAATTGTGCATGATCCTGCAGGCAACAAGAGCGAGGCAGCCGTGAGGATGGGGGGGACATCACGCAGGTTCCCACAGGTTTCACCACAGCTCCCTGACACTTGTACTCCAGCAAGGCGCGGCAAAGCAAGCGCCTCTGGTTCGCCTACCTTTGTATTTCTTTCTCATTGCCTTCGCGTTTAAACTTCTCTATGTATTCTTTGCTGTACCGCTCCTGGGTTTGGCACTGTTCTTCAAATATTTTTATGGTTTCATTAAATGCTTCAATAGCTGTTCTTTTCATCTGGATTTCCTGTGACATAATTTCAACAAGTGTCATGGCTTTCATAGGACAATTTCTTCTTGCACCGCGCTACAAGGACATCTGACCTAGATTATCATGCAGCTTTAGGGCCAGTGGGTTTGGGGTTTGGGGTGAGGATTAGTTCTAGGTCTCCCATGGGCAGCAACACCAATGAAGTCTCTTATATGTCAAACGGAGTCACAGTTGCACATGACTGACTCCCACTGTTTCAAATCTGCTATATCTGGATGATTTAAATACCTACTGCAGGGTAAGTGCTATGTAAACAACAGCCATATCGTATTGTTTAGAGGATGACAAATGAGAAAAAGAATGTCCACGTGCAAACAGATGTGGCTCCAAAAATACGAAGGGTTGGCTGTACTCTGGTAGGGTGGAAGGACCCAGAGTCACAGAACTCATTACAGTAAGAGTCTCACACAAACGCACGCTTCCTTTGGGGGGCTTCTCATTCTATGGAAAATAGTGCCTTGCTTCTCTGTTACTGTGCTAAGTCATCCCAGTGGAGGGCATGTGCAAGCTCCTTCGCCATGACACGATGGCCCAGACAGGACAGCGCTCCTAGAGCGACACCGCAGTAAATGCAGGCTCTGCCTTGTGAGATTGCCCGAGTCTGCAAACATTTAGTGTTAGATTCTGATCGGGAGCTACGTCCAATGAACCTAAAATTCATCACGACCCCTCCCACGCCCATGTCAATGGCACTGGGAGATCTACGGATACCCTGCTGGATCAGTCCAGGGTCACGCTGCTCTGCCACCTGCATGGTGGGTGTTCGAACAAGTAACCTTTGAACCTGACTTTCACAGGACACTCACCTGCGAGGTGCGGGTATACTCTTCATATAATCTATCATATTCTCGACTCTTTTCTTGAAACTGAGTGTTATATTCATGTAATTTCTTCCCTACAGCTTCAATATTATCTTCTTTAACAACCTGATCCTAAAAAAAAGATGGGAGACAACAGAAAAAAGAAAAATGAATTCAACCAGTACGAGTGAACCCACAAACTATTCTTCCACAAAACAGCTGGCATGCAAAAATCTTTCAAATCGGCATCTTCCTTGGCACTTTTAAGTTCGCAGGCTTGAAGCTCTGACTGAATGCAATCCCCATCCGCTTACGTATTACAAGGGCTCCATCTAAACATTGCAATCTTACCTGCTGGTATTTGGACACTGGGTAAAGCAACTTCACATCCAGCTTGGGATTGTACTGCGCTAGGGATTCATTCCGGTAATGGTTTATTAGTTCAACCACGGAGTTGAAGGTTAACGGGTCAGAGAAACCATACTTCCCATCCCGGTGAAATATTTTGATTAATTTGTTATTTCCTCCTTTCCTGTAAATACAGTATAAAAATCGCGGCATGAAGATTTGCCGGAAGACACACACACACACACACACACACACACACTGCTCACCAACCATCCCAACTGCACTGCGGCTCACCTTAGTGTAAGTGTGTAATCCCCGTGCATCTTTGTAGACGCATCTCGTACCAAGAAGGTTCCGTCCGCCGTATCTCGAAGCTTCTCATTCACTTCTTCCCTGGAATCGACAAAGCCACGAAACCAGGCTCACCTAGGGGCTTTGGTGACTGCCAGGCTGTATTTTTTTTTTTTTTTTTTGCCTCAGTATACTTTGTTTCGAGAGCAGCTTTAAATTCACAGCAAACACAAACAGAAAGTACAGCCTGTTCCCATCCGCCTGCTGCTGCAGCCTTACCTTGCTGAGCTACTTTTTCAGAGTTCACTGATCATCTCTTTACATGGGAGTGTTAGCAATTTCAGGCTCATTAAAAAAAAAAAAAGCTTCCAGGCACCCATTGATAAATAAGTGTACCCACTTTTGCAAGTGGGTGTTTGTTAGACTTTTTTTTTGAAATCCAAAACTACCTTTTCTGGCAAATCAGCACAGACCATAGGATTGCCAAAAAGGCTTTTCTAGCCCCAGCCACTCCATCCTACCCCCTCAAAAGCTAAGAACAGGTCCCCAGGCGTTGTTTTAAGACAGCAGCCCCAACTGTGCGAGTTTCCCTTTGGGGAGAGGGGGGACCTTTGTACTCCATTTGCAGGCAGTGCCACCTCACCCCGCTGCTGTCCCTACAGCTCCGTCAGTAAGCAGTCTTGGCCAGGATGTAACTTCCTGAGCCAGCACAGCACCCACAGCGCTCAGAGCCCAGTGACTTTTCTGGTCTGTTTTGGCTGAGCATCAACTATGCTGCATGCTTAGGTTGGCTGACATCCTAAAAGACAGGACTGGGCAAGCTGGTGCCCTCCTGTTCCTGAACCCGACGCGCCACGGAGGGTCTCACCTTGAGATGTCGCCCCAGTACCATTCAGCATCTTGCAAGGACATACTGTTATTCATACCGTTGTTGACTGCAGGAGTGGGTTTGGGTGGTTTGGGAGGCAGTGCTGTGGACGAAAGAGAAAGACAAAGTTGTCGGGCGAGCCCAACTCTGAGCCAACGTCGGGTAGTGCACCTTGCATTTCTGCGGGGCCAGATTTCTCAAACAACAAACGGATATCACTAAAAGAAATCAGTTATTCACAGCTCCGGGCACCGTGGAAGATATATTTTTTTTTTTTAAAGAGAGAAAAAAATCCTAAAGATGAACAAAAGGGGAATGCATTTCACACTAAATCCAGAAACCCAGGCATTTTCTCTGTGACTGGGTTCTCCAAGTTTTACGCCTGGTCAAATCCACTCAAGTAAGAAACTGAATCTATGAGCAGGAGTTGGCTTTGCTTTTCCCTGATTTAGTTACAGAAAGACCAACTCGGTCTCTCGCCCGCAGATGCAGCCGCGAGGATGGAAACGCCCCTCCCCGGGCACGGGGCTAGGCAGAGGGGGAGTGGACCTCTTTAATCTGAGCTGTCCACGCACTGGTCTGCCAAAAGCCACTTTTAGGAAACTCGTCTGCCACCTCAAGCTCTACGGCGTTAATATTCTGTTGGCTAAACTCTGCTCTCTGCCCGGCTGATTAACAACCAGGACCTGCTCCGTCCCAGTGGCACAGCAGGATCCCACATCTCTTTAATGGGTCACAAATCAAAGGAGACTAGAGTGTTTCTGAGGTTTTTTTTTAACAAGGGTGGAGGGGGTGGTAACAGTGAAACCTGACAAATCCGGGACACAAAAATGAAGCAGGCATTTTCAGCTCAAAGCCCAAAAAGTTTCCAGGCAGTTGTGAGAGCATGACAAATGACAAGTGATTCCCCCCGCAACGCCAGCCATGTGTCCACTCACGAGAGAGCCCACATCTTCTCTCCTCATAGCCTCGGAAGACAAGACGGCGGGTGACCGAGGGCCGTGGCAGGTCCTAGAGAAGCGAGTTGCAATCACGGCTCTGTCTCACATACCGCGTCTGCCTTAAAGGACCCGGTACTCGGTGCTCACCCGGCGAGAAGCCAGCCACACTGCCTGCTGCCCGGAGGACAGCACACCCGTCCTTCCCACTCAAGGAACCAAACGCAACACAGACATCCACGCAGCAGAGGAACACAGACTCAACAAAAGGCACCAGCGAAGCCGTGGACTTCCTTCCTATTCTAGTGACAGCAAGCGTGACCACACACAGCCGCCGCAGGCAGGCAGGCAGGCTACATTTCAAGCTGTGACAGAACTCATTTGGAACCAGTGGAACAAATAAATAAAAATAGCCATCGAAACAAGACCGGATATGGCAACTGCCCCCCATCCCACCCCCGCCAAAAAAAAAAAAAAAACCTAACTGAATAAATAAAATAAACTAGCTTTCTTGCAATAAGTCTGCAGATTTTACCTGGTGGATCCATTTCTATATAAAACATCAAGTCCGTGCCACAGTGGATATCTGCCTTGGCATAGTCTAAATCCAGGTCATCCATATTCCAAATGGTGTTGTACATTTGGGCGAGAGTTGCCTTGGCTGAGCCCCGTGAGCAGAAAAGAAGTGTGGCTTTCTTTGTCATGGTGTCTTGGAATTCATTTTAAAACCTAGAAGGGGCTGCACTGTAACCTATGACATCACACCAGCCCAGCCAATCAAGTCAGAAAAATGTCAGCAGACCACTCCTGCCCAGCCTGTACACCGTCCCCACCTCGCCCGAGAACCGCACTTGGGGAAGCTGTTTAATGAGCCTCTTCTCCGCGAGCTGTGAGTTTTCTAATTCCTTTCTGATTAGCCCTTGCGGCGGCACGCTCAGCTCAGCCCGGCCAGGCAGCTGGCAGCGACAGGCTCTGATCGGCAGCAGCTCAGCCCTCCCCCCCCCCCGCGTCCCCGTCCCCCCCGCCTGGCGTCCCCCCCCTCCATCCCTCCCACCCCTAGCAGTGCATCTGGGTTTACAGATAGCCTGGTCTTTCCTGGGGTTTAGAAATCTGACAAAGACAGCAGAAGAGTCCGCTTCGGCTATGTTTTAATAATCCTGAAACTGCTCCCCTACTGTAGGAAAAGCAGAAAGGAGGAGCCAGAACTCTGGGTATTTAATTTTGCTGTCCCCTCATTCCCCAGACACTCAGAACTTCAACCATCGCCCCCCCCCCCATCAGACAGGATAAACAGAAGACAAGGGGCAGACCATGTTACCTCCGCCACCACATACTCCCCAGAGACAGGACAACTGGACAAAACCAGGGCAGTCGCTGAGCAGGCACGCCGTGCCGCTGCCAGCAGGAATTACCCAGACACCACTGGCAGTATCAATGAGAAGCGTACTGCTGCTGGCTCAGGCTGGGCAAGGCATGGTGCCGCCTCCGACAACGGGCAGAAGGCAGCGCTGTGTGCACAGCATCTCACTGGTGGACCTGTCTTCGCAGCCCGATAGGAGGGTGATGTCATCTTTTTATTTTTTTTTCCCCCTTGCCTTTGCATTTCCCCCTTTATCTCCCAAGCTGGCTCTTAGCGGGACAGAAATCAATTTCCCTACAATCTGATGATTAATCCTGGCTCCTTCAAGCCGTTCCTGCTCCTGGCGCTGGCACCTGTGTGGGAGCCTCCCGTTCCCAGTGTGAACCAATCTCTTTCCATTTACCGCACTGCAATGGGGGAAGGGAGTAATTGTGGCTCATTTTGTAAAAATCAAAAAAAAGCCAGTGGGCTCTGTGAGGTATGTCCATATCTGTGAGCTGTTGCCGCGATATTTTCAAGCATGCAGAGGCCCCTGAAACTCGTCCTCTTAGAAGACCGATCAAAGATGGGACTTATCACTCTTTGGGCATGGGTGGCTTCTGCCATTCCCAGCTCCAACCTCCCCACCCTACCCTCTCCCACTCTCATACTTTCCTATTTGCTGAGCGCTTCCGTTAAGCCTACAGGCAAAGACAAAATGGGAGGGGGGATTCAGAAAAAAGTCTTAGTAAGAGGATGGACCATTCCGCAAAAGTAAGACAAGTCCTCCGGGTTGTTGGGGCCAGACCTACAGAAACCCCCCCCTCCCGAGAGCGGAGTGGGGAGGGGGTAACGTGCACCCCTGGGGGGAGGGGGGCTCAGTGAAAAGTGCCAAATGGGGGGAGGGGTAGGGGGGAGAGGAGGAGCTGGGTTAGCCCACCGAGGGAGAAGCAGGTGTCCTGGTAGCAGCCGAGCGAGAGCGAAGAGACTCGCGCGCAGCTCTAAATCTCACCCGCAAGCCAGCGCCCAACGCGCCCCGCACCAACTAGCTGCAGGAAGCATGTCCCGCGCCCTCCGCCCGCCTGCACGCCCCAGACAGCATGCCCGGAGCTCACGCCCCAAGAGCCGCTCAGGCCGCGAAGGTGCTCAACCAAAGTGCTCAGACGAAAGGCGACTTACTTTGCAGGTTATGCATTTCAGCGGTTTTCCTTTAAATGTTTACATCCAACGGGGAGGGGGGGGGCGGATAACCAAATTTAAAAAAAAAAAAAAAAAAAGCTATTCCACCAGGGAGCCGGGGCCAAGCCCCCAAGGCTTCCCCACCCCGGCGCAGGTTCCGAGCAGCCACGGGTGCGCACACAGGGAGCTGGGTGCAGCAGATGACAGCGGGACCCCCTGGGGACCCCCTCGGGCAGCGCACTGGGTGAGCTTACTGCGCCCAGGAGGGCAGGCGCGAGGCGGGCGCTGGCACGGCGCTCTCTGATAAAGATCGCAGCTTCCTGATTAACTTGGGCAGGTTCAAATATTTGCTGAGCTAGGGATTTCGGGAGGGGGGGCAGGGAAGCCCGAAAGTCAAAAGTTGTCAGCGGCTGACAAGTGGCCGAGGCAATGCCCAGCTCGCTCATTTTTTGCCAAGGAAATGAGAAGGCCATTGTGAGGGGACTCAAAATAGCACCCCTGGTCGCAGCACTGGCACACCCCACGCCCGGCTGCTGCTTGGGGCTCCCAGAGCCCGCAGCGAAGCGAGGCACTCCGTGCGGCCAAACACAGGAAGTGGCTGAGCGTTTGGCAAAAAATAGACTCAAAAGCGGCTCTTGTGGAGAGAGGCTGCCTCCAGCGCGCCCCCGCAGCAGCAGCAGCATGCACCCGCAGGTGCCCCGCGTTGGCGCCCCCGGGAGAGAGGGCGGGCACACGGGGATAGCCAGGCCCGTACCATCCGTGCCAATCGCACCAGGCTAAGACGAGCTCGAATGAGACCACTGGCGTCCCAAAGGGCCAGCTGGCAGCTCTTAAAGGGGCTGCACTTGCCGGCCCTGGGGGAGGTGGGGCTCCCCGGACGCAGGCCAACCTGGCCAGGGGATGTGTGTGTCCTTCCTGCGAGCAAAGCTGCGGTGAGCTGGGCTGTCTCAGCCCCGATGCAGGCCACCTCAGCCTTCAAGATTGCGCTTCCCAACAATGTCAAGTACCCAGAATCATCACGCATGAAAACCACAAACCAAGGCCCCTAAGCACGGCCACGTGCACAGGGCGACAGGAGGTACCAAATCCAGCGGCCACCCAGGAACTCTCCCCCACCCCACTCCCTGCCCCCTTCCTTCCCCGGGGCCAGAGAAGGCACCAGCTGAATGACAAGCAAGACTGAAATTGCCTTCTTTGAAGCTGCGTGCAAGAAATTCACACCTAAGCAACACTCCGGTAGGTTCCCTCCCGCCCCCTTCTGCTTTCTATTTTTAACCTGCACAAGCCACCTTGCCACTCCCTTTGAAGAAGGTGGGTCAGGAGTGCGTGACTCTCCCCAAGGATGACAAAGAGAGCCATGGGCTGACACACAGCCCAAAGGGACAGCCTTGCTCGGAATATCCACTAGGCCTACCCAGCTTCCCTCTGGGGCCGCCAGCACATACACCGGTGACAATCCTCTATGGGTGGGCACAGGACGGTCTACAAGTCAGTCGGCCAGCTAGTCTCAGGGCCAGCCGGTCATGTCCGGCAGCCTGAGCTACTTCACCTTTCCCTACTTTTAAAAATAGCCTCTCCCAAGTTAGAAACGTCAGACGCGCCCGCTTCCTAAGGGATACCTGTTTGGGGTCCAGGGATGCTCCTTCA